GGCGGCATTGAAAAATCGTAGCTTGACAAAGAACTTTACCGAGAAACTCAGGGATGCAGGTGGTCTCTCTACCCCAGAGCAAGAGGAAGCCAGCCTTCAAAAGACCAGCCATACAAATCGGGCGCCAATTTACAAGAAGGAAGCGACGGAAAGTTTGAAGGTCGGCACCACGGCTATGGACCAGGACTTGGCTTTCAAGCAAAAGCAAACCGCCCAAAAGAAAATAGACATGCAAAAGAAAGAGGAAGCTGTACAGAACCTTACGAGTTTCAAGACTGCCACGGTTGCGACTAATCCAATTATTCCTGATACATCCTTTGATTCACCCGATAGCACCTCGGACCCACAAGAGAAGGAAGCAAAAGTAGATGACGAATTCTCAATGTTTAAAGAAGCCACAACTGAAAGGACCGAAGGAGTGGTGAAAGATGGCATGAAAGATGGCACGCATGAAGTTGACGATGATTCCCAGGGCTCCGGCTCTGCAGCCCGACACGAACCAACGCAAGATGCCCAACAACACGATGGAGAGCAAAACAGTGATTTCAATGCCTTTGAAGAAGCTCCAGCTGCTACGAATGAGACCATGGCGAGTGGAGAATTAGACAAATTTAGAGACTTATCGACGCAGGCTAAAAGTGAAGAAAGCACGGAAGATGATTTTGGTGGTTCGTCGCAACCTGTAGATTCTCAGGCTGGAGATAATGGGCAAAGTTCTTCTCCAGTAGACTGGGTCAGCAATACACTGGAGCCAATGGAGTTACGAACATTTGAAAGCACGGCCTCGTCGTTAGGACATGACTTTGTCAATGATGCGGATGGCCCTAGTGGTCCCACCGCAGAACCAAGGAGCAGCCAAGATACTGATGAATTTGGCGATTTCGAGAGTACTAGTGCCACACCGGAGGCGGGTGAATCAGCTGACCAAGCTGCGGGTGGCTCCGGAACCTTCGATAGTTCTGGTCCAGCAAGAGAAGCAGTTACCAGTCAAGATGATGAATTCGGTACTTTCGAGAGTTCTGCTGCTGCTGCTGCTGCAGAAGCGGGAGAATCAGCTGACGAAGATGCCGGTTGCTTCGGGAGTCTCGAAAGTACTGGTCCCGCAACGGAACACAATAGTCAGGATATGGACGAATTCGGAAGTTTCGAAAGCACCGCTCAAGATGCGGATGGTTTCGGGAGTTTCGAGAGTACAGGTCC